ATGTGTTCTAGACATCGAGGATGCAGACTTGAGCGCAAAACTCGCTTGAGAAGTACTAGAAGCAATTGCGACTAAATAAGGAGGTGGAAAGTGCACCATTTAATACCTATTTGTTATTAAGGTTAAGAGATATAACTTTTTTATCTCAGGAGTTTTCCTAAATGAGACAGTGTAACTAAACATTACTATGAACATCTTAAGGGCATAAACTCATGAAGTGTAACCTGGCAAGACTCGTAAGGCAAGGCAAGGCCGTCACAAGTCCATTCTATGCATTTTTGGAATTGAGAAACAGCCCTCGTCTCTTCTTTGTGTCTTTTTAGCTGTTTCCATGTGAGAGCGCCCCTCTGCCCTTTGGAGATTTACAGCCGTTTACAGAGCCTTGTTTCCCAGAGAGCATGTGATTGAGAATTTCAGGTTTTGCTGAATCACATATTTTTGTTAAAATATTGGCAGCATTTCAATATGGGCATTTATGCATCAATATAATATTGCTGTCATACTATGCTCTATTGATATTTGCCCCCCTACTCATTTTGTAGATTATGTTGTAATGCTATTTGCTGTTTTTTTTTTCCAGTTCCTTATTGTTTGACTTATGCTCTTGGTTATACTCTATAGTCCTTATGACGTTTCAGTTCATGTGTTATTTTCCATTCGATGCATTGTGAATGAAGAGTCATGCTGATCATGTTTGTGTCTGACAAAATTAGAATTTTCTGAAACATGAAAGTTCTACACAGAAACCAGAAGTGGAGTCAGTTTAGTCTATCCAGAGTCTATTTTCCGTATATTAAGAGGACCACTAAAGCATAAGCGGATGTCTAGTCTGGAACAAGGGGTCTGACCTTGGTGGATAAGCCCATGTGTGTGGTTTATCCAGCACACTTACTTTCACTCGACACTTTAAACAAGACCTCTCTCTTGCACTAGAATCATGAATTGAGCTCAATGTAAAGCAAGTTCCCTTTCCTCCTGAACTGTAAAGAGATTAGGTGTCAAAACCACAGGGTGTTTAATATACAGAAAGTTGCGCTATAAAACCCCAATAAAAGGCATTCCATCCAACCGAGAGGCAACCTAGAAAGCATTACTTAAATATCAACACCACCGAATCACCAATCATGGACACTTTATTCTCAATCAAGCTGCAGATTGGATGCCCGAGCTAACTCTCCTGCCTGAAAGAGCATATCTCAGAGACCGTGACTGAAGTGAATGCTAGCATTTCCCTGCTCAATAACACACCAATAACAGCTACAATTATTTTTCCTTTCCCTGCGTGTTTAGAACATTAGGGTGGAAATGTCTGTATGTGTATGTGTGTGTGTGTGTGTTGTGAAACAGTGACTCATGCTAACCACCAGGGGGAAGAATAATGAGGCGAGACTTGCAGGGAACACAGTGAGAGAGAGAAACAGATTTGAGGGGGTCAGCTGGGGATTCTCTGTACAGTGTGTGTGTGTGTGTGTGTGTGTGTGTGTGTGTGTGTGTGTCCGCCCACTTGCGTTTGCTAAAACACACAAACAGCCACTATTTTTCCATGGCATGACGGAGCTGTGGTATTCATTTTATACCAGTCAGCCATGTTTTCCAATAGCTGTGCCTGCTATTCTGAGACAGACAGTCACATGAACACACTAAACTGATATGATTAAAGACAATATGGAAAGAATTTTCCGCACTATAATACATTTACCCTACAGGATAACTGAACTAAATAGAAACATATCTGAGAGAGATACTCTGTAGATGCTCTAGAGTCTTACAGTTGCAAACAACACCTTCTCAAAAACATCTAATTAATTATACTCTACCATTCTAATTTTGTGTTCAGAGTATGAATATTTTAAGAAAAAAAATAATTTATTTAGTAATGATGAATGAAAATATATGCGTTTAAGACATTTCCAATGTCATACATCTGAGTCTAAAAACTGAAAGAAAATAAATACAAACAAAATGAACTAGCAAATCTTATTTGACCATTAAAGGGCACCTAGGTTACCCCTTTTTTCAGATTTAATATAAGTCTTTTGCATCTCTAGAATGTGTATATAAAGTTTCAAATCAAAATACCCATCAGATTTTTCATTATACCTTTTACAAGATGCTGTTTTATACTGATTTCCAGCAGGGGGTGGTTTGTCGTACTGTGCCTTTAAGCCGAGTTCTGCCCGCCCACTGTTTCTACATGCCTCCTCCCTCAGCTGCGTCAGACAACAGACAGACTTAAAGGAAGAAGGTCTCACGTAGCGTTTGTGAGATACTACAGTAAGAACTAACCTTTACTAATCAGTATTGTGAAGTTGCATTGATGAGTCACACACAATATCGTTACAAAGTTAACACGCACACACACACACACACACAGACACACACACACACACACGCACGCACGCACCCACGCACGCAGGCAGGCAGACAGACAGAGCGCGCTTAGCTTAGTTAAGGCTAACCTCAAGTACTGTGTGGATATCTGTTATGCTAATGTACAAAATAAACCTGATTTAACTTCCACAAACCGGGATTGAAGCGTCTTCTTTTATAATTGTTCTGACACACGGCTGTGCTGATGAAGTAAAGCTGAAGTAAAACGCTGTAATTAATTACACACATACTCTGTTTTAAAACACTTTAAACATGTGAAACTTACTCTTAATCACATTTGATGATGATTGCTGATCCTAGCGAACAGACCTTTTATTCCAGGTTGCTTTGCGTATGTCTGTCTGGTCTTGTTGACATATACACGTGACTACCGGAACATGTTAATGCGCGCAGCTGTCAATCAATTCGGTGGGCGGGGGGATCGCACACCTACGTAATGGTGCGATCGATTTGAAAACAGCTCCAACTGGCCGACCCTTTTTTTTGTAGTTAAATTGAAAAAAAAAAGGACTGGGTGTGTTCATATCACCCCAGTATGACGGTCTATACACTATACCAACACACAGATCTGTCCAAACAGCTTGAAAAGTAGATTTTTTACCATAGGTGCCCTTTAAGAAATGTTCTTAAGCATTAAATCAGTCTTCAGTGGGACAATCCAAAATCATTACAATATGCTGAAGTAATGATGCTGAAAAATCTGATTTTCCATCACAGGAAAAAAATATAGATTTTTAAAATTAATACAATGAAAAAGTGTTATTTTTAATTATATACTATTCCACAATTAGCGCTAGGCAATAAAATCGATATTGATATTTATTGACTAATAACGATTAAAAAAGATGTAGTTTGTATGTGTTTTAATATAGTTTTATTAAAAAATGTAGCTGCTGAGCGCATGCATTGGAATGAACGGCAATAAGCTTAGGGTGTAAGTTTGTCATTTCCAATAGAGGCGCGCAACGTGAACATCATGTGCAAGTGGCATTTTCCAGGTACACCTAGATAAAAAAAATAAATAAATAAAAAATCTGAAATTTTAAGAATGCCGAAAGCGCACTGTGATTCTTGTAAGTAGAACTAACCAACCTGCTTCACACTTTGTTTGGAATATACACATTTCAGTAAACACAGCGTATCAAAACACTGCATCGCTTTTTACTTTTCTCCACAAACTTGCTTTGGAGCTGCAGCAATAGTTTGTCCATCTGTCATCCTTTAAAAAAATCGATTGGTGGTCACCTAGTTACATGAGATGGCATAGAAAATGGTGAAGAAAAGCTCACACTCATGCTTGTCACTTCAGGTCAGAACAACAACTCATGCGAAAATGAGTGTTGTATAGCGGCAGTGAGAAGATTGTAAATAAAAGAAAAAGGATGTCGCCAGAGTGGCTTTTTGGTTTCTTTTCTTGTGCACCCCAGCCTCTAGCTTCCCATTCCAAAGATTGTTTAGCATGGGGGTAATGTATAGTCATTCAACTTCACAATTTGTAATGTTGCAATATGTATTTGATTAATGATGGCTGGTTTTTGTATTTTTCAAGTTTAAGAGTCTCTTTAACACTGTTTATTTTATAAAGAGATCAGTATTTTGTATAAACATTTTTGTTTTTGACTATTAAAACTATTTGTCTCAGTTATGTTGGTGAATTAAAATAAAGTGGTTAAATAACACAAAATTCTAATATTCCTTAATAGATTGTTATATGAAACATGATATCAGATTTTTTTTTCTTCAATAAAACCCAGCCCTATTGACAATACTGTTTTTACTGCGTTTCTGATCAACTAAAATGCAGCCTAAGTGAATGTACACACACACAGCTTTCTGGGTCACACAGGGGTGAATAAATTTCTCAAGTAAAGCAGTTATTATTACAGGAAGTGCTTAAAGGTAAAGGCCAATTTAAAAAAGTAACATTCTGCAAAAAATGCAGATAAGCAGAGCAGTAGCTCCCATCGTAATTAACTCCGCTTCCAACTCCGAGAAACCTGGGGTTACGTGTGTGCGTGTGGGTGTGTGCTGGTCCGCTGGGACGGATAGTGTGGCCTTTATCAGGGCCGTCAGAGGGAAAACGCATTTCATGCTCTGCTGACCCCCTTTTTCCTCTCTCCTCCCCTCTTCTCTTGTCCACCTAACAGAAGAATTAGGCAGCAAAATTGCTCCGTGTGTGACATGGCCCACCAGAGAGTGTGTTTGTGTCAGAGAATGCAAGAGAAATGTCAAACACAAGCATCTACACTTCAAGCTACATTATATGTGTGCACTGGTGGAAACCCTTCTCTTAAACTCCACAAACACGCTCAAAATAGATCCTTCTCTACTACTAGAACAGGGCCTGTGGCATTGAGACACCGTTCCCAGCTGCCTACAGAAAACTAATACTGGAAAAACTACTATTGCTGAGCTAGCCTATGAGGAGGAGTTCTCATTTACACACAAACATCATGATTTCTCCCTTCTAAAGAATCAGGAATAAACCAAGCCTCACCTATACATTTCATTAGACCGTACAGCTGCCTATTAGCGGTTACTATTGGAAACAGCCACTACTTATTTGCAAAAGGAACATCTTTAAACAAAAAGTAGTTAGTTATACTTACATCTGGGTACTCTTTAACCGGTACGAATAGCTTCTCCTGCAGATGCACGATTGGTCCCACTGGCTCTGGTAACTCCAGTGGGTGTTTGTCCACCAGACCGTTGACTGAGTCATTATACATGTCTTTCCTCACTCTGTTTATCTCTGCAGGTGACAAAAAAAGATCACACGCATATCAGAAATGACCGAGTTAAAACAGGAATGAACAAACAACTTCAAATTGCAACATTTCCTGCATTCTTGCAAGGTCCAACATTTTTTGCACATTTAACCTCAAATTCAGTTGATTCTCAAATTTCACTGTAGCAGGAACTCAAATGCACAAAGTTTGATCTTTTAAACAAAGATGCTTTCATAGATGGCAACCCCTGATAAGGTTAAACTGCTGCTGCCAAAACATGATTAAGCTCAGGATGTCTATTGGTGTCTCACTTACACGTACACAACAACCTTCCCACATAATCTGTCCCTTCCTCACAAAGAGAAGGGATTTGGTACAATATAGTGAGGTAAACAAGCTGATAGTTAGGGTCTGAAACAAGCAGATGGCGCAGCAGGTACAAGCACACACATAAACAAAATAAATAACTATACATTTAGAGTGTCAACCTTATACCTGGAAACAATTTGGAATGTTGATGATCTTTTAAAATGGAGTATTTTTCAATTCAATTCATGTTTATTTCTATAGCGCTTTTACAATGTAGATTGTGTCAAAGCAGCTTAACATAGAAGTTATGGTAAATTGAAATAGTGTCAGGCCAGTTTTCAGAGTTGAAGTTCAGTTTAGTTCAGTTCAGTGTGGTTTAATTTTCACTGCTGAAAGTGCATACACTGAAGAGCAAAGCCATCGATGAGCAGCTCCACAAGTCCCAAACCAAGCAAGCCAGTGGTGAGGAACAAACCTAACCAATTGACGAAAGTAAAGAGGAAAAAAACTCACGAGAAACAAGGCTCAGTTGGGTATAACAATTTCTCCTCTGGCCAAACTAGGTGCCGGTGTAGCAGGTATACAATTTCAACACACAATTCAGTCATGGTTGTCCAAAAGTGCAAAATGAATCGTGCAAAAATTTCAAACATCCATGAGATCTGTGACAATCTTGATTGATGAATGTCCATAAATTTAAACCTGCTGCTGCTAAAAAATGTTCTTGAAAGAAGTCTCTAAAGAACATCATAAATACAATTGCTAAATGTTTCCACAAAAAAAATAACTTTTACCCAACTCATTATTCCTGTTTCTTTCATGTAACTTACTGTTATTTGTATGTCTTTAGAACAACTGGTCCCATTCACTTATAATTGCTCAAATTACTACGATTTCAATTTTTTTTTAATTTTATTATATCATGCAATAATATTAAAAAATTGAATTAATTTCTAAAGAACTGAATTATAGTTGTGTTAATCTGAAATAAAACTTTTTAACGGGGATAGAGCATATGTGTGGTGTCAATTGTTCCAATATTTAGAATACATTTTATTAAATTAAAGCTATGGTAAATGACGATTACAATGTTCATTAAAACAACTGTATTAATAATGGCAAGTTAACAAACAAGCAACACAAAAAAATTAAATACAAACCCCCATAAACTACTGAACCTGTTTTTACAGCTAACTCCTCCATCAAAAGAACAATCCTGTTCTTATGTTAGCTGATATAAGCATCTTTACTAAAAAGTAAAGATGACTTGGAACTATATACAAGGGTCACATCACACATAAAGGTAAACTATACTGTCCAGAGTTCTCGAAAGTCCAGAAATGGCGGTGTTCTGATGATTTGTGCTACCCACTCAGATTGTGCTACCCAGCCGTGTGATGTGAGGCCATAATAATCACCCAAATATAGAACCAATTTATTGTTGGCTGCACATGCTTGGTGAATAAAACCCAATGTATTTCCTGTCACTTTTGGTCTATATAAACCATCCGTGTTGAATCAAAATATTGCATTGCCAAAAAAAAAAAAAAAAAATTTAATGAAAAGTAGTTCAATCTGGCCTGTCACATTTGACTGTAACTACAGTGGACAAATTAAAATCACACGAAAACTTAAATTCTAAAATCCTAAAAGCATGTGTTGCGCTCGGTTCTGTTTGTTACTACACACACTTCAGCAGCACTAACACATGTTGTCAGCTGTCACAGAGCAGTATCGAGGGGGAAAAAAACGTGGGATCACAGTATGACTGGAGTTTACACACTAGAGAAAGCTCTGACAGAGTGTTTGACGGCTAGTAAAGTGTGAGCTCTAGGTCAGTCCAAATCCATAAGGGATTACAGCATTTGGATTTCCTAAAGGACAACTGGACCCATCTCACTGCAGTTCTGAGTGGTTGATAGACACCCAACTATGAGTGTGGCCAAATAGTTGTGCCACTTTGACTCTTGCATTTCCCTGTTGATGTCAATCCCTATTGGAGTCAATGAATTTACAGCATTTCCATTAAAAACTAGTATATTAAAAAAGACTGAAAACACTGGGTGTGTGTGTGTGTGTGTGTGTGTGTGTGTGTGCGTGTGTGTGTGTGCGTGTGTGTGTGTGTGTGTGTGTGTGTGTGTGTGTGTGTGTGTGTGTGTGTGTGTGTGTGTGTGTGTGTGTGTGTGTGTGTGTGTGTGTGTTTCATGAGGCCACTGATTCCTGAGAGTAGCTGAAAAGTGATGCAATACTGAGATCAGAACAACAGCAGCTTTGGCCCATGTAAGGATGAAACCTTTACCACAAGAAGTCTCCTCACACACATGCAATGAGTCCCTCAGGAGATGACACAACTGCTGCAAGTATATTAGCCACATTTACAGAATTCAATCCATCTTCCCTCTCTCTTGACCCCAGAGAAACCTCATATTCCTCCACCCTTCTCTTTTTCCATCCCTCGCTTCGCCCCCTACCTCTCCCTCCACCTTTCTTCCCTCTAGAGCAGGGAGGATTTCTCTCTGCTTCTCTGGAGTAAGTGCGCTGCATGTTTAATATTCCTGGACTGCTTGAGAGTATTTTCAAGTAAAAGCAGGAATTAAAAAATTGAAATATCCTCAACTGAACCAAAAATGGGTCATGAAGGAAAACATGTTCGTTTAAATTATCTACCAGGCTCCCTCAGTATACAATCGCTCACCGTGTGACCTTTTAATATACATCAGAAATAAATGTAAGTGCAAAATGATCATCTACGGTGCACATTACTTCATTTGTAATGTTTTATTTTCATCTGTCTGTCACAAATGCATACATGCACTCAACCCTCTCTCCTTAAAAGCACACTTTTAGTGCGCACTTAAAAAAAGAGCCAATGAAAAATAGAAACTAAAGTGTTTCTGTCTTTTGGCTGAACGAGAGAGGCGCAGCGAAATGCCACATTACCATAAAATAGCAGAGAGAGAGAGAGGGAGAAAGAACAAGTGAACGCTATCGAGCACATGCCATTAGCAGGCACAAACTCTGAGGCAAGTCCTAATTTCAGTGCCCAGACCACTAGTAGCCTAATAGTTAAGTAGCTTGTTTGCCAGCAGAAAGGTCGCATTTTAAACTCAACTAAAGGGTGAGGCAGGAATGTGGAAAAGCAGTAAGATCAGAGCTTGGTCTCTCTTAAGCGGAACACTGAGCCCTACAGTCGCCCTGGGGTCAGGCTGCTGGTTTGGGGTTGGTTTTCGGTTGTGGTTGTGTGTTGTGACCGCTGAGGGTTTAAGTTTGATAAGTATGCTGCTGATGCGTTGCATGTTTCACTAGGGCTGGGTATTAAGTTCGATACTTTAAGCACAGACAGAATTGTCTCGATACTATCAAGTACTGAAAAAATAATTTTCGTTCGGTACCAAATTTTGATACCCAAGGGTATAATCTTGTCAACGTCAGTGAGCTAGAAACCCTGCGGCATCCTTAGCGTGCCTGAATCAAATGCTGGTGATTGGCTGCATCGAGGCTGTCTTGAAAATCAATAGTTTACAGCAGTTACGCCCACTCGTTCAGAGCTTGTCAAATGTGAGGCTGTAATGCGTACACTACACTTTAAAGCATTTTTGCATTGTTTGACTGAAAGAAGATCACATGTCTACCACAAGCGTCGTCTCCTCCGTGACAGATGTGGATAACTGCGCAATGGCTTGGGCTTGAAACAGCCCCTTAAAAGTCACGTCTCGCTTTCAGTTTAAGGGTTAGGCACGTTTTGCACTCACACACAAGCGTACCAATCCAAAGCCCAAGTAAACACTGGCACACTGTTAGTGTGAGTACGCCCTAAAAGAATGTGTAAAAATTTTCTTTATTTTTGATTAATTCGTTGTTGTTGTCGTTGTTCACTTTTGGGAATTGTAAATAAAAGCACATATTTTTAAAATTACTTTGGTTGTGTCTTGCACTCATTCACTGTTTACATAAATATAAATAAATGTCAAACCCCACCATCCCCTAGATTAAGATTAACAGGGGTTTGTAACAATGGACAAGCAAAAAAATCTGATATAGGCAAAAAAATCGAAATTGGTCATGCAGACCTTACAGTGGTAAATGAGGTTTGTGCACGGTAAATTTATTAATCCTTTTTTGGACCTAAAGTACACTGTGTAACGTATTGTACTGTTTCGATGGCTTTAAAGAGCCCATATTATGGGTTTTTGAAAATTCCCCTCCATGTAGTGTGTAACACAGCTCTAAGTGAAGTGAAGTATCCAGCTAAGGCTTAAATCTGTTAGTGTACAGTGTTTAAAACTGTTGATTCATCTATAAAAGAGTCGACTCATAGTGCTTCAAACGAGTCACCTTGATACCGATTCATTAGGTGTTTCGCCATGACGTACGAACGAAACCAAGTTATTCACGTGCACGCGCAAACCCGGGAGATTTCAAACCTGAGGCCCTGCCCTCTGACGCAGAAACCCAGACACACACACACAAACATGCCGGTCGATTGAAGTCACACTGCAGATGGATATATTGAGTCTCTACCCAAAGATGAAACCTCAGCATTATAGCCAAGCAGTTGGAAACTACTGGAAACTTCTGGAAACTACATGCTACAAAGAATACTTCATCAGCGTTTGTTAAAGGAAGGATCAGTAAAGAGTAACTTACTGATGGACGTCAGGATGGATTTTTCTTCCTCCATTTCTCAAGTGTAAGTACGTGCGATTAAAGTTGC